TTTTTTTTTTTAAATATATATACTTTAGAGGAAACCCTGGTGGTGTAGTGGTTAAGAGTTCAGCTGCTAACCAAAAGGTCGGCAGTGCAAATTCACCAGGCTCTCCTTGGAAACCCTGTGGAGCAGTTCTACTCTGTCCTATAGGGTTGCTATGAGTTGGAATCAACTTGAAGGCAGCGCGTTTGGTTTTTTTTGGTTTTATACTTGATAAATAGAAAGAGAGAGAGAGATTTATTTTAAGGAATTGGCTCACACAATTGTGAGGGTTGGCAAGTCCAAAATTTGTAGGTCAGGCAGCAGGCTAGAAACTCCAGCAGGATTTGTATGGTACAGTCTTGAGGCAGAATTCCTTCTCTTCAGGAAATATTCATTTTGCTGTTAAGGCCTTCAACTGATTGGATGAGGCCCACCCACATTCTTGAGGGTCATCTCCTTAGAGTCAACTGATTGTAGATGTCTATCACATCTGTAAAACACCTTCACAGCGACATCTAGACAAGTGTTTGACAAAACACCTGGGCACCACTGCCTGGCCAAGTAGACACATAAATGAACTCTCACAGCCCACAGCAAGCCTATGAAATATGGATCATGGAGTCCATTTTATGTATGAGGAAACCAAGGCTCAGAGAGAGCAGTTAAGACCATTGTCCGAGGTCCCCAGCGAATATGGGCAGGACTGGGGCTTGAACCTGTGTCTTGGGCCTCCAGAGCCCCGCCCTGCAACCCAGCCCTCACAGCCTCTGTTCCAGGAGCTGCCTGAAGATGAGGAGAACATCCTTTCTGGGTGTGGCCAGGCCCTGACTATCGAGGGCATTTACGAGGACGTCGTCCGGGGTGTCTTGCTGCAGAGGATCGACCAAGGTGAGTTCTGGGGCCCCCATGGCTCAGAGGAACTTTGTGTCCCCCAAGCCCCACCAAGGCTCTTATCACTTCTCACTTCCTGTTAACGCTTGCCCTTTGACCCCCAGAGTGGGGGATCCCAGAGAGTCAGTGATGGAGTCCTGAAGGAGGGAGCATTTGAGTGAGGCCGTGAGGGATGCATAGGAGTTCCCAGGATCACAAGAAGGAGGTGGAATTACAAAACTGGGGCCACCTCCTATTAAGAAGCTTAAAATCTTGAAAACAGTATTTGTTAAGGCCAACAATATTCATAAGACATGTAAAAGGTGGATGGAAAGAAAAACTATAAGGTGTTTTGATTTCTCCTTGTAAATATTGCTCTCTGGTGAGATACTTAGGAACAGTCTAAATCAACTGCTGATGCCAAAGTGAATTACTTAAACTGAAATTAAATGAACAAGTTTAAAAAGTAGAGAAAAATAGAATGGGGCTAGAAATGTACATTTAGTCATTGCTTTTCTCAGGGCTAGCAAAACCCCCTCAGAGTTTTCAGACTCAGGGGGTCAAACCTCTTGGAGGAGCTCCTAGTCTAGGAAGAGGATCCCACAATGCCTCTTCTCTTTCCTGGCCACGCCAGGTTGTTCAAATGAATAAATAATTGCAGCCCCGTGATGTGTGCCCTAGGGAAGGGACTAACAGCGTGCCATGGTGATTCAGGGAATGCTAAGTGTGTCCCTGCGTGCCTCAGTTCCATAATGCTGCTGTAACAGAAATACCATAAGTGGATGGTTTTAAAGAACAGAAATTTATTTTTTCACAGTTTAGGAAGCTAGAAGTCTGAATTCAGGGCACCGGCTCTAGGGGAGGGTTTTCTCTGTCTGCTGTGGGGGAAGATCCTTGTCTTTCTGCTCTGTTCCTCGGTTCCTTGGAGATCTTCACATGGAACCTTTCTTCTCCCATCTGTGCTTCCTTGCTTCTTTTCCTAATCTGTTCCTTTTATGTCTCAAAAGTGATTGGTTTATGACAGACCCTACACTGAGATGGCCTCATTAACATAACAAATAAAACCCTAATCCCAAAAGCGATCACATCCACAGGTATCCTGTTGCCCTCAAGTTGATTCCAACCCAAAGCAACTCTATAGGACAGAGTAGAACTGCTCTATAGGGTTTCCAAGGCTGTAGTCTTTATGGGGGATCCCTGGTGGTGCAGAGGAGCCCTGGTGGTACAGTTGTTAAAGTGCTCGGCTGCTAACCGAAAGGTCGGCGGTGCAAATCCACCAGCAGCTCTGAGAGGGAAAGATATGGCAGTCTGCTTCTGTAAAGATTTCAGCCTTGGAAACTCTATAAGGCAGTTCTACTCTGTCACATGGGGTCGCTATGAGTCAGAATTGACTCGATGGCAATGGAATTGGAATCTTTTTTATGCTTTTTTTTTTTTATTGTATTTTAGATGAAGGTTTACAGAACAACTGGCTTCTCATTGAATAATTAGTGCATATAATGTTTTGTGACATTGGTTACCAACCCCATGACATGTCAACACTCTCCGCTTCCCGACTTTGGGTTCCCTATTACCAGCTTTCTTGTCCCCTCCTGCCTCCTAGTCCTTGCCCCTGGGGCTGGTGTGCCCCTTTAATCTCGTTTTGTATTATGGGCCTGTCTGATCTTTGGCTAAAGGGTGAACCTCAGGCGTGGCTTCATTACTGAGCTAAGAGGGCATCCGGGGGCCATACTCTCGGGGTTTCTCTAGTCACTGTCAGGCCAGTAAGTCTGGTCTTTTTTTGTGAGTTAGAATTTTGTTCTACATTTTTCTCCAGCTCTGTCCAGGACCCTCGATTGTGGTCCCTGTCAGAGCAGTCAGTGGTGGTACCGGGACACCATCTGGTTGTGCTGGATTCAGTCTGGTAGAGGCTATGGGTAGTTGTGGTCCATTAGTCCTTTGGACTAATCTTTCCCTTGTGTCTTTGGTTTTCTTCATTCTCTCTTGCTCCAGATGGCGTAGGACTAGTGGAGTATCTTCTATGTCCGCTCACAGGCTTTTAAGACCCTAGACGCTACTTACCAAAGAAGAATGTAGAACATTTTCTTTATAAACTATGTTATACCAGTTGAGCTAGATGTTCCCCAAGACCACAATCGCTACAGCCCTCAGCCCAGTAATTTGGTCCCTCAGAGAGTTTGGATGTGTCTGTGGAGCTTCCATGACCTTGCCTTGGACAAGTTGTGCTGGCTTCCCCAGTATTGTGGAAGCAAACTACCACATCTTTCTCCCGTGGAGTGGCTGGTGGATTGGAACTGCCAACCTTTCAGTTTGCAGCGAAGCACTCAACCACTGTGCTGCCAGGGCTCCCTTCCACAGGTATAGGGATTAGGAATCAAACGCATATTTTTTGGGGAAAAATTCAATCCATAACACTGTAGTGGGCGCTGATGGTGTGAAGGGCCACGGGAGGAAAGGAGGCTGGAAGCCACCCAGGGTGGATGTGTAAGGACTTGAATAACTGGGCGAAGGCAGGGGAGAGGAAGATGAGTTTAGACTTTATCTTGCAGGCACTGGCAAGCCATGGAGGGTGTGTGAGCAGAGGGCAACCATGGCTAGACTGGAAGCCAGGGAGGAGGCTGAGGGCAGGGTCCTGGGGGCAAAGGACAGGATTGAGCAGCGGCAGCTGCCACGGGGATGGAGCCCAGGAGTTAGGCTGAGGTGAGTGCCGGAGTTGTTGGTGTAGGGGTGTCACAGAGGGGGCCACAACCAAGGGAGAGTGTAGAGAAAGGAGAGGGAACACCAGGAGGGGTCCCAAAGAGCCCATATTTGAAGGACATATGAGGAACAAGGGGCGTAAAAGGAGCAGTCGGAGAGGTAGGAGGAAGCAGGAGATGGAAGGGTCCGCAGAGACAGGGAGCTAAGGGTGAGGGTGTCTTTGGTCTGTAGCGGCAGGAGGGAAGCAAACGAGAAGTAAGTTCCCTTAGGATTGAGGGAATTTTATTTTATTTTTTTAAATATATTTTTTAATTTTATTGTGGTGAAAATATACATGACAAGACATATGCCTTCTCAACTATTTCTACGCGTACAGTTCAGTGACATTTCTTACTTTCTTCAGATTGTGCCCTCATTCTTGCTATCCTTTTCCAAATCATTCCACAACCATTAACATAAACTCAATGCTCCGGAATAGGGGAAATTTTAAATGGAAAAAGCCTATCCTCTGATTGAAAAAGTAAAATCCAGAAACAGGTAATCCGAATGTGTTGCTGTCCCTAGAGATTTGATGTATCCCTAAGGGTCGCCATCTTCCATTGACTTGTGATGTCTTCCCCTAGCACTGTGTTGGAAGAGGGGCCTGGTGGTGTCCAGGCTCAGTGAAGAGTGTGAGGATTGACTTGCAATGTCTGCCATGGGCACAGGTGTGGGAGAGAGTGCATTTCTTTAGGATTCTTGGTTGAGACATTTCTTGCCACCCTCTGCCCTCTAGAGCCCTGGTGGCACAGTGGTAAAAAGCTAGGCTGCTAACCAAAAGATCCGCAGTTGGAATCCACCAGCTGCTCCGTGGAAACCCTATGGGGCAGTTCAATCTGTCCATAGGGTCACTATGAGTCAGAATGACTCGGGGACAACGGGTTTGGTTTTGGTTTTCTCTGCCCTCTAGTGGCCTCTCTGGGGAAATGCAAGTATGCCTTTTGATGCCTAACCAAAAAAAAAAACAGTTGCAGAGGAGGAGATTCCAACTCATAGCGACCTTATAAGATAGAGTAGAAGTTGCGCCATAGGGTTTCCAAGGAGCAGCTGGTGGATTCAAACTGCCAGCCTTTTGGTTGGCAGCCAAGCTCTTAACCACTCGCCACTTTGATGCCTGGGCTTTCTCAAGCGGGTCCATGGGCTTATGTCTTGTTTCAGAACTGAAAAAGGCCCTCGGTGCAAGTGACGTGTCCTGCACTCCAGATGGCTTCTTAGATGCTCCATGGGACCAGGACGGAGCAGGTGAGGGCCCCCATGTCCATGGGCTGTGCCAGTGAATCTCTGGGGGGTGGGGGGCTTGTGTGGGGGTACGGGGTGGTTGCGGGTATAGGTTCAAGGATGGAACAACATGTACCTTGTTTCCTGCCCTAGCTGGGCTGCCCAAGCTTGTGGCAAACAAGGGCAATGGGGAGCTATGGAGTGTGTTTGAGCCGTGGAGGCACCCTGTAAACCCAGGTCTGATATTCATGAGAGCTCACCTGTTGGGAGCTGAGGTGGTGATGAATTTGTATCCTGTCTTGTCTTGCTAGGACTGGATGGGGCTTCTACCAGCAGCTCCTTCCTGTTCCCAACATTAAGGGGAGAGAGTAGGGATGGAAGCCTTTGGTTTGCAGTTGGCAAAGGCTCAGGGCCTGGGTGGTCTCACTGGCTTCTGGCCTGCAGGGAGCTCCCTGTTGAAGAGGTTGAGGGAGGCTGGGCTGGGCTGCTAGGCTCCAGCTCTGGAGATGGACATCGTGCAGAAACGGGCAGAAACGACTGGTCCAGCTGGAAGCCAGACCCGTGGGCAAGATGTCCATAATCTGGTGCTCAGAATGAGGGGCAGAGGCAGGACTCCGGAAGGGCTCATAGCTCCGTCTCTGTCTGTCTCCTAGGGCTGCTGTAACAGAAATACTACATGTGCGTGGCTTTAAAGAACAGAAATTTAGTGTCTCACGATTCTGGAGGCTAGAAGTCCAAATCAGGGTCTTGGCTGTGTCGATTCCTTCCTTGTCTCCTTGTCGGTAGTCTCAGGTTTTCCTTGGTTCATTAGCTTGTAGACAATCATCACAAGGCATCTGTCTTTTCCCATGTGTGTGTCTGTGTCTGTTCTGCTCTTCTTATAACTCAGAAGTGATTTGATTTAGGATCCACCACATGCTGGTAGGGTCTCAACTGACTGGTTGATTACATTGCATTGTTGTTTTTACTAGCTGTCCCCAACTCATGGCAGCCCCATACACAACCGAATGAAACGCTGCCTGGTTCTGCTCATCCACATGATTGGTTGTGGATCGGGACATTGTGATCTAGAGGGTTTTCATTGGCTGATTTTTGGAAGTAGATTGCCAGGTCTTTCTTCCTGGTCCCTCTTAGTCTGGAAGCTTCACTGAAACTTGTTAAGCATCCTAGCAACATGCAAGATAGGTGGTGGCTGTGCATGAGGTGCATTGAACTGAATCAGCCCCGGGTTTCCCACATGGAAGTCGAGAATTCGAGCACTTATTACATGCCAAATATTAGACATGTCTGATTTACATCATCCTCATGACATTTTCCATTTTACAGATGAGGAAACTGAGACTCAGAGAGGGGGATGGACTTACCCCAGGCAGCCATGCTCCAGCACTGAGGTCCAGCCACTCTGTCCACTGCCTCCTGAGAGAACATTCCGGAGCTGAATCTTTGCCCACATCCACCCTTGTTTCCATTGGATAAGTGTCTGCAAGTGGAATTTTTGGGCCAAAGCATATGCAATATTTCAAAGCTTTTGTTAACTCCCCAGCCTCATTCCCCCCACCAGCAGCATTTGTGAGTTTTCTCCATATCCTTTCCAAACACCAGGAATTTTCATAAAATAAAAAACTCTTCTATGAGTCAGGTTGACTAAAAAAACAAAATAAATAAAGCTCAGTTTTTTTTCAAAATTTCAAAATAAATTTATTTTTATTTCTTTGATGACTGAATTGAACTTAAAAATACATTTCTTGGCCATTTATATATATATATTTAGTTAATTGCCTGTTCATGGCTTTTCCCCATTTTCTTATTGATGTCTAATAACTCTTTATATATTAAGGATTTTAATGCTTTGTTATACAGTTTAAAATATTGTTTTCTCAGCTTGCTGTGGGCCTTTTGGGTTTGCTTACTTGCTACATTTTTTGAATTGGAATTGAGATTCCCAGCTGACAGGCTTTAACTGACCAACTCTGTTTGCCTGAAAAGTATCAGTTCACAGAGGTTGGCAGCTTCTCCTCTTTCACGAGCTTTACAGCTGCTTCCGGAGCAGGTTCCGGAGGGATTTCTCCTGATGTTCCTCTCAGTTCAGCTTTCAGAGGAGCTGGTTTCCTTCCATTCTGTCCTGGAGTTTACAACCTCTCCCAAGGGAACAAGATTCTCTTGACTTTTCCTTCACCTGTTCTGAGATACTTTTGCACTCCACAGCCTCATTCAACTAGGTCTTCTTTTTACCCAAGACATTTCGTTCTGGAAATACCGCAGCAAAAAAGAACTTGTCATCTTGCCTCTTTTGAGAAGACCAGTTTGCCCTCTGGTATAAATTCTTCTAGTCTTTTCTCATTGTGTGGGTGTGAAGAACAGACACACACGACCAGGGGGGTGGGGCAGGGCTTGTCTCTTTTTTTTCTTACTTAATATGAAAGAAGGAGTCCCTGGGTGGTGCAAATAGTTAAGAGCTCAGCTACTAACCAAAAGCTTGGCGGTTTGAACCCACCCAGAGGCACCTCAGGAGACAAGCCTGGCGATCTGCTTCCAAAAGGTCATAGCCTCGAAACCCTACGAAGCAGTTCTACTCTGCACTCATGGGGTCGCCATGAGTCAGAGTCAACTTTTTTTTTTTGTTTCTTTCAATATGAAAGAAAGATATTTACCCACCAGATCCATAGAGTGTAAGTTTATTTTTAACTTTTTATTATGGGAAGTTCCAAACATACTTGTCTCAGTCTCCTAAGTCTGCCATAACAAAGTACCACAAAGTGGGTGGCAAGAACAGAAATTTATTGTCTCACAGTTCTGGAGGCCGGGCGTCTGAATTCAGGGCATCAGCAGGGTCATGCCCTCTCTGTCTCTTTCAGTTTTGGGCAGTCCCTGGAGTTTCTCGGCTTGTAGGCGGATCCTTACACAGTCTTGCTCCTACGTGTGACTGTTTCCATGTCTGTCCTTTTCTTTTATAAAACACCACGGAGAAGAATTGATGGCTTCGAATTATGGTGTTGGGGAATACTATTACATATACCATGGACTGCCAGAAGAACGAACAAGTGTGGCTTGGAAGAAGTACAGCCAGAATTTCTCCTTGGAAGTGAGGATGGCGAGACTTCGTCTCACGTACTTTGGCCATATTATCGGGGGAACGAGTTCCTGGAGAAGGATGTCATTTTTGGTAAGGTAGAGGGTCAGTGAAAAAGAGAAAGACCCTCAATGAGATGGACTGACACAGTGACTGCAACAATGGGCTCAAACATAACAATTGTGAGGATGGCGCAGGACCAGGCAGTGTTTTGTTCTGTTGTACGTAGGGTCACTGTGAGTCAGAACCAACTCAACGGCACCTAACAACAACCACCACCACCCCAGTATGATTTTAACTGATAACATCTGCAAAGAAAAAGCCTATTTTCCCAAGCAAGGTCACATTCACCCACGCAGGGGGCAGGACTTCGACATATCTTTTTGGGAGACACAATTTGTAAAAATGGCGTGGGGATGGTGTCTGACCTTCTCTAACTTCACAAGGGGGAAGCAGAATCAAGATCAACAGCCCAAGGCTGATTCTTATGAGGCCAAGCTCAGACATGCCTCCTCTCTCTGCTATCTTTAGCAATTTTGACACCAACCGTCCCTCCCACAGCACTCTCTACTTCTCTGCTGGGTTCGATAATTCATTGCAGTGGCCACAGAGAACTCACAGGCAATACTCATGGTTATGGGGTTTATTAGGGAAGTAACAGGTTACAGTTCAGGCTCAGGAACACTCAGGATACAGTTCTGTCAGGACAGCCTCCTCCCAATTGTGCTCGCAAGTATGCCTCTCCCTGGCCCTGGGTCTCTGCCCAAAGGCACTCAACTTTATCTCTCTGTGGGCCGGGAAGCCCACCTTGCCATCTCCTGCTGCTGGGTCTCTGCCACCGCTTCTCACCACCTTCAGTGTTATAGCTCATTCTCTCTCTCACTCTCTCTCTCTCTCTCTCTCTCTGTCTCTCTCTGTCTCTCTCTCTCTCTCTGTCTCTCTGTCTCTCTGTCTCTCTCTCTCTCTCTGTCTCTCTCTCTCTCTCTCTCTCTCTCTCTCTCGGTCTCCTGATACCAGGAGCTTCTCAGTGCTGGGATCCCAGCTCCAAAGGACACCCTGGCTCTTCTTCCTTGGTGGTGGTGGGATCCTCTCTTTCCCGCCTCTGGGGTGGCTCATTTCAAACCTAGCAGGATGGCAAAACTGACCAGCCCCTTTGGTGGGCCACAGTTGCCCTATCACACAGTTCTGCCCACTCACTTGGGTGGGAGTTGTAAGACCATGGCTAGAAGGTCCATATTAAGTAATTCATTACACCGCACAATTGTATCCATAACAATACCCAAAAGCAGAGACCCCATATCCCCACAACCAGGCTCAGTAGGGACCTACTTGGGAGGAGAGGGGCACCCCTGTCCCTCTGCCCCCTCCCCCATGTCTAAGTCAATCTGTCATCCTATCATTTCACCAGCAAAAAATGTGCTGCCTTCCCGAAATATTCAGCCAAAATGTTAACTTGCACAAATGATTAGTGTAGAAAAAAATTGGAAAAAGAAGCAAAGGAGAGGGAAGAAAGGAGGGATGGGATGGGGTGAGTGTCACATGACCCCACCAGCCTTGCCTCAGGGACTCTCCTGGTCAAATCAGTTGCCATCCAGTCGACTCAGTATGTGTCAGAGTAGAATTATGCTCCACAGGGTTTTCAATGGCTGATTTTTCAGAAGTAGATCCCCAGGCCTTTTTTCCAGGATGCCTCTGGATAGACTCAACCATCAACCTTGAACTGCCAACTTTGTGGATTAGCAGCTGAGCGTTGAACCATTTGCACCACCCAGGGACTCCTGGCCACCCCCAATTTTACTTCCTTAAGCTCCAGGCCCCACTGTCCCCCACGGGAATGGGGACACATTCCCTGTGCTCTAAGTTTATTTAAGAAATTGCACTTTTTTTTACATCAATAAATATACACATCTGAGCATTGTTCTTAAAACTTAATGCTTAGGAATGACACAAAATATGATCTGTCTAGATGAATTAGAAAATACATTTGAGTATTGGAAAGCAATCCCCTGGTAACATTTCCATCCAAACTCAGGCTTCACCTACGGAGCGCGCGCCCGGCCCATTCTAGCATCGTTGGGCTCCATCTTCAAGACCACCCTGCGTGGGTCCGTTATAACCTTGAGGCTAACACAGTGAGCCCACGGCGGAGGCTGTATTTGAACCTGGGTTTACGGATGCCAGGGCCCAGCCACTTAATGCCCAAAGACCCCCAATGTCATGGGAACAGGGATGGTTAAAACCCCTATCACAGCCAAGGAAACTAAGGCACAGATCTTTCGGGCCCCAAACCAGGTGGTAACTAGCCAGGTCCGCCTGGTGGCCTAGCCTGGGACTTATTCAAGTTGGATGGCGCATCGGGCGGGGGTCCCCGCGGCAGCAAGAGCCTGGAGGGAAAGACTGCGCTGGACAGAAACGGTCAGGGCTGCGGGTCGCTTTAAGGCCCGCGTCCGCGTCCGGTCGACGGGTTTGAAGCGCTCTCTGCCTTTAAGGCGGGAGAGGGGCGGGGCTTGAGGGCGGGCCTGAGGGATGACGTCACCCATTCCCCTTGGAGGCGCGCGGCAGGGGCTGGGCTCCGACGAGTCCTTTAAGGCGCGGCCCGTCGGCCGGCGGAAAAGCGGCTTAAAGGCGACGCGTGGCGCGATGGCGGCGGCCCCACGGGCGGCCCGGCGACGCGGGCGGCTGCTCCCGGCGCTGCTACTGCTGCTGCTAGCGTCGCCGCCCCTGGGTGGCCCGTCAGGCGCTGCCGCCTACTTCCCCGAGGAGCGCTGGAGCCCCGAGTCCCCGCTACAGGCGCCGCGCGTGCTCATCGCGCTGCTGGCGCGCAACGCGGCCCCCTCCCTGCCCGCCACGCTGGGCGCGCTGGAGCGGCTGCGGCACCCGCGGGAGCGCACGGCGCTGTGGTGAGCCGCCCTCTGGGGCACCCTTAGGGGCGGGCCCGACCCTGACCCTGCCGCCTGCCCGCCTCCCCCCCCCCCCCCCCCCCACATTGTACAGTAGGTCTACACCGCACCCTACCGGCTGACCCTTCACTGGGCCAGGCCCTAACCTGCTGGCTGATCCCCTGTTAGAGCAGATCTACACCGCACCCTGCCGGTGACCCCAGTGGGTCGGGCCATGCCCTAACCCTGCCTGCTGCTCCCCTTTGGTGCGGCCCGGGCCCGAACCCTGCCTGCTGTAGCCCATGAGGGCGGGTCTATACTGCGCGCGCCCTGCCTGCTGTCCCCCATTGGGCCGGGCTGGGCCGGGCTGGGCCCACACGTTCCCTCTGCTTTTTGTCCTAACTCCCTTCCTCACATTAGGGTGGACCAGGCCTTGCTCTGCGTGCTGTTCCCCATTGGGCTGGGCCAGACCTTAACCCTGCCTGCTGTCCCTCATGCAGGACCGGTCCACGCTGCGCCCTGCTTACTGAACCCGCATTAGGAGGGCCCAGGTCCTGCCCTGCCTGCTGCCCCACGCGTGCCCGCTGCTTGCTGTCCTCCCCCTACCCTTCCATCCATTAGTGTGGGAGGACCAGCTTTATGCCTCTTGTCCCCAGTAGGGAGGTTGAGGCCACTGCCCTGCCTGCTGGCCCCCCATTAGGGCAGATCTGGACTACGCTGCCGAGGACTAACTCCCTAACTCCTCCCCGTGTGCTTGTGGCTGCCCAGGGGACCCAGAGTCTGTGGCCTCCACCACATTGGGGTATTACCGTGACCCCATCACCTTTGCACTAACTGAGAGTCTTGCCCTGCTCCTGTTGCCACCTACACCCCGTCTGCCTCGTCCAAGTTCGAGGACTCCATCAGACCCTGGCCCTCCCCACCGACAAGCATGGGTGGGGAGATGGGACCCGAGGATGGTGGGGGGGCGGGTAGGGTGGAAGTTGATACTGCCTAGAAGGGGATGCGTGTGCCTGTTGGAATCCGGCAGAGCCAAGAGGGAAGCCTCAGACTGGGGACTTAGCACCTCCTACTTCTGTTTCCTCATCCGGAAAATGGGGATATTATTATAACTCTTCTTGGATTTGTCTCTTAGGATTAACCAGTTAGTGTGTGTGAGGCCTTTAGTGCTTTGTACAGGGACCAGAGCTGCGGTTAGCATTATTCTTGTCTGTGGTCCCGGTGATTATTACTGTCATTGCTGCTGTGGTTATTGTTGACTCAGTAAGAATGCGTTTGGAAGAATTAGCTCTGGGCTCCATGATCAAGCTGGACTTCCAAATGTACCCTCTTTCTTCTACCCCAGGTTCCCCAGCCCCTGATAATCCAGGCACACAGTTGGTGCTGAGCAGATGTTTGTTGAATGAATGCATGACCACAGCCTGCTCTGAGGAGATGTCGCTCTTAGGAGTGAATCAGGGAAGGCTGGGTGGAAGTTAATTTTTTATTAACTTGTACATGCTGAGTCCCAAGACGTGGTTATAAGACCCTAGATGCTTTAAAACCCACAATTTCTAATGTATTTGTCCAAAGTTAGCTCATTCAGTCCCCTCGATAGCCCTGTGAGGTGGGTCCTTTCATCATGCTCTGATTACAGATGAGGAAACTGAGGCAGGGGAGGGGAAGCATCTTGCCCAGGGCCACACAGCTGGTGGGGACTGAGCCGGGATATGGATTCGCCGCTGTCTGGTCCTGCCTCAGTCTCCCTGCCTACACTGACTGCCCTTTTCTGACTACAGGGTGGCCACTGACCACAACGCAGACAACACATCGGCTGTGCTGCGGGAGTGGCTGGTGGCTGTGAAGAGCCTGTACCACTCTGTGGAGTGGCGGCCAGCTGAGGAGCCTAGGTGAGCAGATGGGCCCTGTCCCTGCTCACACACCCTCCATGACTCCCTGTTGCTCCAGGATGAAACACCAGCCCCTCAGCCCAACTCTGCTGCCTTAAGCTCTGGCTACTCTTACCAATTCTTAGCTTCAACAGTGGGTCATAATCTCCCTCCAGAACTTTGCCCCAGCCGTTCTCTCTGCCTAGAATTCCCTCACTCCTTGTCTTTCTGGAGAATGCCCGTGGCTTTGTTCCTTTCTCAGTCTCAACCCTAGGATGGCTGTGCTATTTAGCTTCCCTAACCCCCTGGGCAGCCGGGGCCCCGGCCTCCTCTCACCTTTCAGTTTCTTTCTTTCTCTCTCTCTCTTCCTCCTTTCCTTTCTCCTTTTCCCTTCCCCTCCCCACCATTGGAGACAGTGGTGATTCAGGAGTAGCATATTCTCGCCTTCCATACAGGAGACCTGGGTTCAACTCCCAGCCACTGCACCTCATGTGCAGCCACCACCTGTCTGTCAGGGGAGGCTTGTGTGTTGCTGTGATGCTGAACAGGTTTCAGCGGAGCTTCCAGACTAAGACGAGTTAGGAAAAAGACCTGGTGATTGACTTCCAAAACTCAGCCAACAAAAACCCTGTGGATCACAATGGTCTGATCCGCAGCTGATCATGGTGATGGTGCAGGACCAGGCAGCATTTCATTCCATTGTGTATGAGGTTGCCATGAGTCGAGGGCAGCTAACAACCCCACCCACTGCTCAGACACACTCAGGTCAGTGGTGTCACTAGGGCTGGTGTCACCCAATGCAGTAACTCATAGTGTCACCCCCACAATGGACCTCCTCCCATACCAGACCATACAGAATCCTTAGTAATGATTTTTATGCTAATCTTACTCGTAACTCGTACTTCCTGTATATCACTCCTTTTTTTCCTTAAATTACTACTTCATTCTCGAAAAAGTTATTGATAAGGTTCGCAAATACTGATTACCACAATACTGTAGCTAGAACACCAGAAAATTTGACAAAATCAGAGACTGTAAACACACTGACAGCAACAAAAACAACAGCGCACGCTTTTAGCATGCGGACAAAACCACGTGATCCGAAGTATCACTGTGATTGGGTAATGATGACAGCTCTGACCAGCGAGCATTAGAAGGTTCAAAAAGTAAATTAGCACAGGGTTTTAGCCTTGTAGGCATACTGATGCATGCAGGCTGGGCTGATGAAAGATGTTTTTGTTGTTATAACTAACTGCAGGGATATTTTTATCAACAGTCATTTTAGTGTCACCCCTCCAGCAGTGTCACCCAGTACAGTCCGCACCTCCCTAGTGACGCCACTGAATTGGGCTCCAAGTTTTTTCCTGCTCTGTGTTCTTTTCCTGTCCCAGTGGCTCCCCTCACCTCTGGAGAACATGCTTGTTTGGCATCCGAGGCCCCTTCTCCCTCCACACCCCCAGCCACACTGAGCTTTCTCTGTCCTCCATATCACCACGTGGCTTTCTCCCCTTCGGGCCTTTGCACGTGCTGTGCCCCTTTTTGGAGTCCCTGGGTAGCACAAACAGTTAAGCGCTCGACTACTAACCGAAAGGTTAGAGGTTCAGGTCCACTCAGAGGCACTCAGGAGAAAGGCCTGGCGATCTGTGACAGAAAACAGCCATTGAAAACCCCATGGAGCACAGTTCTCTGACACACATGGAGTTGCCAGGAGTCGGGGTTGACTCGACAACACCTGGGTTTTTATTAGTGCTTCTGCCTGGGATACACCCCTCCCCTCCTCTTCTCTCCTTGCTCACTCCTTCCCATCCTCCATCCACCAACTCCAGCTAACACATCCCCTCCTCTGGGAAGCCCTCTCTGACTGCCCGCAAGGCTGGCTCAGGCACTCTCTGGGCTCCATCAGCACCCCATCCCTCCCACATTATGGCTGCCTCTCCGCAGGCTCTACCCAGATGAGGAGGGCCCCAAACACTGGTCTGACTTGCGCTATGAACACGTCATGAAGTTGCGCCAGGCAGCCTTGAAATCAGCGCGGGACATGTGGGCCGACTACATCCTGGTGAGTTTCTACGCCAGGCAGCCCGCAGGTCACCGGAGGTCTGGGAGGTTCCCAGAGGAAGACTCTACAGTGGGGTGCAGGGGCCATCCTTAACCCCATTTTACAGAGGGGGAAACTGAGGCTCCGAGAGAGGGAGTGAGTTGCCCGAGTTAGCCCAGCTGGGGTTTGATCCTGGACTGCCCCCCATGGTTGGACCCTTGCGTTGTCTCCACTTTTAGCACCTCTATAAATGATACCAAACCTTTGTGACACCCTCCTCCCCCGATGCCACTTGGGTCACTTCTGAGAAGCGCGAGGACAGGGTGGGGCAGGGGATGTTAGAGACACTTAGTTGCTGAGGCCTGACTTTCACTTCTTCCTCCTGGGTCCGCAGCGTCTTCCGGAAGGAAAGGGAGCTGTTGAGTCTTGAACACAGTAATGTCGCAATCAGTGTCCATATGTCATGGGCCTCCTGTGGGCTCCTTAACCTGGTCCCCTTGACCTGGATTTGATGCTGCCTGATTCTCTCCCCCAGTGTAGATGGGGAGGGCGGTGATGGCTGGGCCTGGCTCACCACGACAGTTGAACACAATAAAGCAACCTGACAATGCCTGGCTAGGCCTTGAGCTGTGGTTGGAACCTTCTTTGTTTATTATTCAACATGCAGTCTATAAGCCCCTACTGTGTGCGGGTCCTGTGCTGGCCCCTGGGGACACAGTGAGGGCGAGCACTGCTCAGCCACAAGGAAAGGTAGACATGACCAGAAAGCGAACAAAGCCATGTGAGGGAATATCCAAAGGCAGCCAGTGCTGGGAGGCCATTGTAAAAAGGTGACGAGATGGCATGATCAGGGCCAGGGGCCTCTCCAAGGAGGGGATGCAAGCTGAGACCCGTAGGAGAGAAGGAGTAGCCCGGGGAAGCTGGGGGAACAGTGTTCTGGGCAGAAGGAACAGAGGTGGGAGCAGGCTTGGGGCATTCCAGGAATGGTGAGGAGGCCAGAATGGCTGGAGCAGAGAGAGCAAGGTGTCAGGAATGGAAGCAGTGAGGTTGAAGTGGTGGTTAGGGGCCAGACTGTGCAGGCTGAGGGAGAGATTTGGCTTTTACACTCAGGGGACTGGGGAGCCAGAGAGGGTGTTTGAGCAGGGGAGGGCTGTGGTTGGATTTATGATTTTTAGAAGTCCACTGTGGCTGCTGTAGGAGCAGGGACTCCCGGGGTTAGGGGTGGAATGACAGCAGGCCAAGATATTGGTTGTGTTGATTCCCTCTGAGGGAAAACTATCCCATGCCTCTCTCCTAGCTTCTGGTGATGGCCCGCGATCCTTGACATTCCTTGCCTTGTAGATGCACTACTCGAGTCTCTGCTGTCTTCCCTCTGTCTCTCTGTCTCTCTTCTTTTTCATAAGGACACCAGTCATACAGGATTAGGATCCGCCCTACTCCAGTGTGACCTCATGCTAAACTAACTGGTAACATCTGGAAAGACCCTATTTCCAAACAAGTTCTCTCTAGGTAACCCTGCTTGAAGTGCAGGGGTGGATAACCCAGTAAGCAAGGTAAGCACAGGCTTACTTGTGCTTACTTACTAATCTGTAGCGAACAAAATCCGCCGCTATTAGGGACTATACATTTAAAAAGAGGCTTTGAATCTGTAGGAACGTGCAGTGGGGTTGGGTGAGAGACAGATGCCAGCCATACCTAGAAGCAGAATCTTGATGTGGTGAAGAAATGTGAAATTGTTCACTACAGACGATCTGGTAAGCAAGGTAAGCACCGTGCTTGCCTTGCCTAAGGGATAATCCGCGCCCATCACTGTGCCAATTGTATCACAGCAGTCAGGGAAATCTCAGCTTCCCTTCCCTGGTCAGGCCAGACCCCAGCTGCTCTACGCAGCCCTTTCTCTGTCATCCTCATTCACCTGGGGCCAGGTCAGCAGGTACTGGCTTTGTCTCTCACCCTCACCCACCCAGCGCCTCGTCAGCGGGTACTAGTCCTTCTCTGTCTCATCTCCATTCCCCTGGGGCCAGGGGACACTGGCTTCCATATTTCTTAGGTTCCATAATCAGTTAGAAGGACTCACAAACTCCAGGGAAAGGAGCATCTTTCATCTAGTAGATAAAAGGATACACACAGGGTGAGGTCTGGGAAGGATCTGGGCAGAGCTTCCATGTCCCCAGGGGACACGCTTACCCTCCGGAAAGCAGAGCGGATGTTCATTCCCTCCACCTAGGAAGCTCTGCTAAGCCTCTGTCTCCCAAGGCCTCACCAGGTAGCCATGATGGATTGCGTCGTGCTTCCTGAGGCTTAGTCAGCACTGGGCCCCCGGGTGATCTGTCCTGGTCTAGTCAGCCTCTACTTATTGGCCTCAGGCATGGTCCTCCTTCAGGAACCAGGGCCAAAGGCCAAATTGTTTACTATAAAAGGGGTCACACACCTCACACAATCCATAACAGCAATGTATCAGACCATTTACAGAGGAGGAAGCTGAGGCTTGGGTAGGGGGTGACAGGTCACCTAGTGGGAGTCACAGAGCCAGCAAGGCACAGAGGTGGGGCAGGGACCACCCTGGACCATCTGCACAGGGCCGCCTTGTCCCACTTCCCTGGGTTTTCCTTTCGTGGTTTGAGGTTGGCAGGTTTTCACGTCCTTCCCCCTGCAAACCTGGGTGGAACTCAAGGTCTTGGTTCAAAACTCAAAGCTGCCTTTGATACAAAATGATATTTTTGTAAGTGGGGACTTCGAAAATTTACGTTGGAATGCGAATCATTTGTCTAATGTTTTAAAATTTTTATGAAAAAGGCTTTTTTTCCTCCTTTTTACAAAAAAATTATAGATGTTAATTTTAGGGAAAAAACATAAGAAATAGTATTGTGGGAAAAAATATAAGAGAAAATATAAAAATTATAAGACAAATAAGAAGCTTAAGAAAGAAACAAACCAAACCTTACGATCTTGTCTCCCAGAGAGACCTACTTTTTGGCTGTGTTTTTGTTTTGTTTCTTAGGTGCAATTTATATAACCAAATTAACCATTTGAAAGTGAACAATTCAGTGGCATTTAGTCCATTTACAAGGTTGTACAACAACCACCTTTGCCTAGTTCCAGAACATTCTCATCACACGATAGGAGACTCCATGCCCATTAGCAGTCACTCCCCATCCCGTCTGCCCCCAAGCTCTAGGCAACCACAAATCTACTTTCTATCTCTATGGATTTGCCTGTTCTGGATTTTTCATGTACATGGGATCATACATTGTGTGGTCTTTTGTGACTGGCTTCTTTCACTGAGCATAAATACAGCTCTGGAGGCCAGAAGTCTGAAATCAAGGTGTTGGCAGGATCAGTTCCCTCTGGAGGCTCTAGGGGAGGATCCTTCCTTGTTTCTTCCAGCTTCTGGTGGCTCCAGACGTTCCTGGGCTGTGAGCACATCACTGTAGTCTCTCCCTCTGTCTGCACATGGCTGTCTTCTCTGTACCTGGCAGTGCTGCCCATTCTTCTTTATTGTGGTAAAATATACATAACAAAAAGATTTCCATTTTAATTGGCATAACACAGTTTATTTATTTATTTATTTTATTGTTGTAGTTTAGATGAAGTTTACATTTCAAGTTAGTCTCCCGTACAAAAATTTATACATACATTGTTATGTGACCCTAATTGCTCTCCCCATACTGTGACAGCACACTCCTCCTTTCC